TAACGTCCGTGCAGACAACGCCGTGAAGTAAAAAGTGACGGCAGAGCGTTAGTCTTAACAGCGCGGAGTACGCCGGAGTTCCAGTTCCACAGGCCTTTTCACTTAAAGCTAACGTAAGCGTAAGAAACAAATGCATGGTTTTGCTTGCGGCACTGCCTCTCAAAGCGGACGCGTTAGGGTGAAAGTTACACTCGTGCGGAGTCACCCGTGGGCACTTTCACTGGCGCCGTCTTTGCTGTCGGAGTTAGTGATGAGGAGGGTATTGCCGAACCACCTTCAGGGTTTGTGTGGAGCCTTAATTCCATTAAGGGAGTGGGAAAAAAACCCCATTGTCGTTTTCTTTTAAATTCTGCTAAGTTGCCTAAATATTTATCAGCACGAGCATGTTGTACCATTAGCTCTCTGCCCACAAGACCCAGGCGTTCCCTTCTGGTGCTCAGACCTCGGTACTTCTCCTAGCTAAGAGTTCTTAAATTAGTCTGGTGAATGTCCTTCCTACCCAGTACTTTCGGCTGGCCAGTACTAATTAAGGCAGAGGCTTCTGTCTTGGCTGATGTTAGTTAGCCTTTGCATGTATCCAGGCAAAGCCTTTGCATGTATCCCTTTTTAGCAGGAAATCAGCTGTGCGTGTTGGTGGACTGACTGCTAACTATGCAGTTTTCAAGAGGTCAAATTCAAAATCCGTATTTACAGAAGTCGCCTAATTCTTCAGGCAGAAACAGAATTAGGGGCCTCCTGTCGTGAGCTTAGGTACCAAAGTCTTGACATAACTATTTCATAATCATGACAGACCTTAGCCTCATTAACCGATTCTTGGCTTCAGAACCCACTGCAGTTAGGTATTTTGAGCAGGCTTACTAGATCAGGCCTCAAAGAAGAAATAAAAGATAACCACGTTGCGTTCTTTCTTAGAAATTCATGGGGAATGTGGAAGAGCAGCCCAGGGCTTTAGGCAGAAAGCATAACTTGCGTTGTGGTGGAATCACTGATCACTGGGGTGAATGCTGCATTTGGCAGTCTTTTATGCACATCTGATTTATTCAGTGTGGTACACGTAACAAATACACTGTCACAGGAACCAAAACACTCATGTTACAAGGTTAGAGCAGGCAGTAGGCACTCATCACCCTAACTTACTTTTTCTGGCCACATCTGTGTTGTCAGTGGAGCAGTCACAGCAGCAAGGGTCTCCTGACTACCTTGTTTTCTGTCTGTAACTTCTCCTGAGGTGGATGTCCTCCCAGTGAGGACAGGAAGGATCTGAACTCGGGTACTGTGCATCTTAAAATGGGCACAATTACTCTATGCTTACCAAGTGTTGCAAAAAAGTAGTTTTTTAAGTACTTTGTTATGGTGAGGTTTGTGGCTGTGCCTTCCATGTTGAGGGAGTGACTGTCTCAGAATGAAGCTGCTAATTCTCCAAGGGCACTTAAATCCTTGCAGAGTCTTTCACATTAGACTTAAAATCTGAACTTACTGAGAGCAAAATGAGATTCATTTTGAGCAAGAGTAGGGAAAGGGGAGAGCTGACTTGATGAGGGAAGATGACAGTTTTAAGTTATGCTTAGTTTCTGCTGTAGCCCGCAGAAGCAGAAAGAACATCCAAACCACAGCTGTGGCTACATGAATTGGAAGCTTGTAATTTTTAATATTCCTTGCTCAGAAGTTTTAAATTCAATTAGGAACTCACAGTAATTTCCTTCATTTGAAAACACTGAGGTAAAGTCCCATTCCTTTCACAGAGAGAGTTGCCGCTGATAGATGAACATACATTAAGTGAATATATACGCGTGAAGTGACTTTAAGTCTTCTTATGTGAAGTGAGGAGGCATGTTACCTCGTAATTACCTTCTTGCTTTAACATTGTTCAGATTTGGTCTTTGACCTCTTCTCATTTCATACTGTTTCAATGGGTATCGCTATAAAAAAAAAAAGGCCCTGCCTTTGTTTCATTAGGGAAGAACTGTATTTCTCAAGGAGGTAGTACTCTTAAAGAGTTTCAGTTCAATGGGGCTTTGCTATTTAAACTGTTGTTTTTATTTTTAGGTTGCGGATATCAAGAGAGTTAACAATCTTATCAATGATCAAGATTTTTTTGCCCTGAGGTCTATCAGAATTCCAGTGAAAAAGTTCAGTGTATTGACCGAAACACATGTCTCTCCAAAAGGAAGACCAGTCCTTCGGCCTGCTCACTGTTCCCCAGAAGTGCAGGAAACGTCACCTTCTGATAAATTCTCTGCTAATGAGACTGCTGGCAACTTCTTAAAAGAAGTGGATCGAGATATAGAAGAAATAGTGAAGTGTAACGATACAAAGAGAGAGAATCTTAATGAAGTTGTTTCTGCCTTAGCAGCCCAACAGATATGTTTTGAAACTGATGGTAAAACTAAAAAATGCAAGGATCCTTACTATGGAGCAGATTGGGGTATAGGATGGTGGACAGCTGTAGTGATTATGTTGATTATTGGCATAGTAACTCCAGTTTTTTATCTCCTGTATTATGAAGTTCTAGTGAAAGCAGATGTCAGTCACCATTCTACAATGGAATCTTCCCATTTGTTTGTCACAGCAGCATCGCATCAGAAACAAATAGAAAATGGAATAAATCCAGCGAATATTATAAATGTTGATAATCAAGGAGATCTTCAGCCTTAACAACGGAAAACCCCAGGCAACTGTTATTCATAGACGCGTAACATAGCATTAGATAAAGGGGAAACCATAGAATGCAAAATGCATATGGGACGCAGAGAAAATGCGTGCTGATGTGTGACTTGCCTTCATGGGTAGTGTTCCAGTTCAAGGGTATTTCTGTGGATCATGTAGTCTCTGAATATGCCTGAGACAGGCGATTTTAATGCAAGATTGGGATATAAATTAAGGTATAAAGTTGTCTCTGAAGCTTTGCACTTTTTTCTATTTTGATAGGCATATGTTTTTTAATTAATAATGAGGTGAAAAAATGTAGTTCGAACTAACACATGAGGAGTCTCACTGTACGTTTTACAGCCCTAAAATGGGCATTTGGGGATATCTAACTTTTAAACATCTTAAAGTATTTATAGAATGCATAGTACACTTGACATTTTAATACCAGGTTTACAGTTGTCAGTTAAAACTGCGTTCTTATAACTTTATCTTTCTTAGAGTAAGAGGTTTTTTTTAAAACCCAATCATTCCATAATTAATTGCCACTATGAAGTTCTTTTTTACAAGTGACTTTTATAGAGGCAGTACTTAAGCTGGAATCTTCAAATCTTGTGCCTGTGGTCAACTGATTCTTTAGTGCTTTTCAGTATAGGCAGTAGGATAATTTGTTTTCTATGTGTGCAACACTGTGCCTCAACACAGTCCAAGTGAGAGTCTTGCTGGAACTTCACGTCCCTCCGTGGTATCCTACTGAAAACTGACTGGACTGGACTGCACTTCTCATCTGGTCAGCTGTGTATAGAACAAAAGAAGCGCAGATGTGCGGCACCTTACTGTGTCAGCTTCAGCAGCCTATTTTATGCTAATGAATTTTTTTTGTTCCCCCTCCAGTTAATCTCAGTTCAGGACCAACTGATTCTTCGGACAGCAGTCACATGGGTACTGAGTATGCTAATGGTCACGTGCCCATGAACCTCAAACACTAACTTTTTCCTGAAATCTCCTAGAAAACTTCAAATGAGATTTAATGGCTGCTAGCAAGAAACTTAAATTGCAGCAGAATAGACCAGTTGCAGCTTCAGACTTGTTCTTTATGTAGTGTAGTGTATTCATCAACCACTCTGTTCTTCAATGTTTTACTTGCGGTTTCATGAACAACCTTGTTTCTCCCCTCTTTTCTTCCCTACCTGAAAATGCTACAAGATAAACAAAAAAAAATCCCAGACTCTTCCTACAGAAAGGAGGTACTTGTGTACTCAGAATATTTTTAAATAAAAACTGAGATGCTGCCTATAACTTTGTTATATTTGCCTTGTGGAGTAAGACTTCCATTGCCCAGTTCCCAAAATAACTGACTTGAATAGGACTTGCAAAGAGAGAAGTGGAAAAGTATCACTATCCTTTAAACTACTATTTTAAGCTTTCCTTTGAGTGTCTTGACTAAGTATATATGGTATAAAAAAATCTGATAAAGTGAATGTTTCCTAGCTATTGGAGGTATCCCAAAGTGCTTCATCAACTTAAATTTTTAAAGTAAAAACTCATGCCTCATCTATTCTTGGGGCAAATATTCTTCACTGGCATGCTAAGTGTATGAACCGTGAATTGGATAACTTTTAATGTATTATATTGAAATTGAAGCAGGCCAGAGCTTAAAGGGAAATGCTGTACAGTTGGATCTGCGAACTATGATCTGTGGCCCTTGAACCCTTTGATTGAAGTGCTACCTGTGGAGGTAGTGTGACTACACTTCCACACTAGAAGAGGGACTGCAAACAGGCATGAACTTCATGTTTCACGTAACACTTGTTTTCAAAGATCTTTTAAAATCATTGTTCTTTTCATGAAAAGAATATGCTAATAACACAAGCATGAATACTGAAATACTTGTTCTGGGTAAGGCTGTATGAAAAATTTCATTGCAAAATAATTTATGGTGGCTAATGTGATACAGCTTCCATGGCTAAAACATTAAAAGGTGACTTGCCCTAGTCCAGACAACAGAGCTTTGGCACATGAAGACAAACATTTTCTAGGTAGGACTGAAACTTGGTACACAATCTGTCAGTTTTTTGCTGCAAGCTTATTTGCTGGTTTGCTTCTCTCCCCTTCATTCTGTTTCTGAAACCTCAACATTTTTAATACTTTATCCTTCAATTTCTTACGAAATTGTCACAGAACATGAAATTAGCTATTGTGATGATGCAACATAAGCCTAATTTCCTGCACGTACCTGAACTGATGGGTATTAAAATTGCCATCAGTACAGAAGTGAACTTAACTTCAGTTGTGGTTTGACTCAGTCAAGGTGGTCTCTATCCTGTTGATGTACGAGTAAAGAGAGCAGTGGTTAACTGTTGCTTTTCGTCCTGTGGCAGTACAGCTGAATAGTTCTCTAGTTTATTTTGGGCTTTGGGCTTTTACAGTGTTGGAAGGCCTGTGGCTTATTGTCACTGAGTTAAGTGTGATGGGCCTTTATTTACCTTAGGATAAGCAGTCGTTAGAAAAACACAAGGGGATATAGCTGTTTTATTGAACCATATTATACTCTAACCAAGCACCTAGCATGGTTTTACTATTTTATTACGTAGCATATTTCATATGGCGTATTTTTAATTTAGAGAGTTAACTTTATCAGAAGATACAGGAGGTCTCTCTCCAAGGTTGTGGGACTCCCAGTACTGGTGATCTACAAGCATCAGCTGGCTTGGCTTTCTGCAGTATGCAGGGATATTTACTGGTTTTTCCAAAGTACAACACGATTGGCAATGCATCATCACGTCAGCCCTGAATAAACAGGGTAACTAACTGCTCTGTATGGAACTTAAATCTGATTTAAGTTAAAATCTCTAAAGTTAGTCTTTTAGAAACTGACTTGTTTAAAAAAAACCAAACAAACCAAAACAACCGAGTGGTAAGTCATGTTTTAGATTAATTACAACACATTGTTGATCAGGAAGTTGGTTTTAAATTTAAGTGCATATTGCACTGTTGGATCATGTAAAATGTAAATGCTTTAAATCTGCTATATTTTGGAGTATGTTGTGACAAATAGTCTTTGTATAACTATTTTATAAAGGCTGAAAATATAACTTTCTAAAATAATCCTGACTGAGGACGCAAGTCTTATTTTAAATACTTCTGCTCCTCTGCTTTTAGAAGAACATAGGTAATGTATGTAAAATAAAGATTTTATTTTAGACTGCAGTGGAAGTGGTGCATATCGTATTCTTAGCTCTATATACTTTGCATGTTTTATTACAGGAGGCCACTACTTGTATTTGTTTTGGCTAGTTTTTATGTGTGAGCTAAAATAAAATCCTTGGCCAACAACTATTTTGTTGGCAGTAGCTGCATATAGCATTCGTATCTAACATACCATAACGGGAGCCTTAATGGTTTATCCTGTGCATGCCTTGTAGAACTTGGAACTTTTCTGCGTAAAGTTCTGAGGACTTGTGAAATGAGGATTAAGAAATAGGCATGAAAAATTAAGGTAGGGATCAGTGAAGTTCTTAGATGGTGATCTCCCTACACACTGAAAGCAGTGCATTCTTGTGTGAAGTAGCAATGTTCTTCTGCTATGCTATTAAGATAGGATTTGAATATTTGCCTGTCCAAACCCAAGGTTTGCTAAGACCAAAGAAAGGTCTAAGTTTTATCAGCATTGTGGTCTTGCAATAAATTCTAAGCAAACAGAAAATCAGCTCATAAAAACAGCTGCAAGTGTTATGCCTCTGGAACAGCACAATCTCGTTCCATTTCAGAAGTGCCTTGGCACAGAGCTGCATCATTGCAGAACTTGTGTTCATAAGCGTTGGCCTTATTTGCCGTTGTTAAACTAGTCCTAGAAGGTCCATTCTAAGACTCTGTGGTTCCCTCTGGAGGACAGAGGTGACCATAGTTCACCTTTTAAAGGTCTCAGAAAGACCTGATTTCTGCCATAGTAGTATTTCCCAACAGTATAGCAGGGAGGCAATTGTCTCTCCCATGAGCAGTATGAACAATGAAGAAAGTCATCGGTCCCCAAGAATTAGCGTCTGCTACAAAATAAGGTATTGTGCCTGCTCAGGCAAGCCACCGCTTGTGACCAAATTGTAACTCGGGCAGTAATGCTTTTCCAGTGTTAATTCTCTAGTTCTGTCTTTGGCAAAAGCCATCTATTTTCATTCCTTGTGTGAAAGGCAAGGAGCCTTGTTTACCTTGCATAGGGGGAAACAGCTAGTAGAAGATAATACTAGTTATACTTGAGGCAAACAAGTTTAATTTTCAACATGCTTACCTTGTTCACCACACCTTCTGTCTTTCTCTTGTATATCACATGCAAGAAACAGGCACACCTGTTCAAGAAACAACTGCTGGCATGTGTGATGTTAAAAGAAAATGATCAGACAGAATACATTTCCTATGCAATACAGCAGAATGTTTATTAAACACTGTTTGTATAGCTATGAACACTTCAAAATAAAATTGGTATACCTCAGGTGTGACCTGGCATAGCATTTTAGTTTAATTTCCTTTACATCTGATATGAATTTTATCAGAACACTTGAAAGCTACACCTTAAGGAACAAATTCTTATTGCATACAGAAGTTCATAGAATAATGCAGTACTGTTTTCCAGTCAGCAGTGAGGTAAAGTACTACTTGACAAAACGCCAACTTGCAAGGAAAACTTCCATACTTTCCTTTGCTGATAAAAGAATTGGTTTTGTTTTAAAACTGTTCTTTCATTAGACCCGATAACAGCACTAGTTATCAGGAACAGAATGATTTAAAAGTAAAAAAAA